ATGCATGCTCACACACACACACACGCCTGCATCATGCTCACCACCGTGAGTGATTAACACCACAGGGCTCTACGGTTTTACTGTCTTTTCCTCCCTACTTTTTCTTCCCATCTTTCACCTTCTCAAAAAGCAAATGAAATCTGTCATCCTAAATTACCCTTTCACTCAACAAAAATGACGAAATCGCCTGTATGAGCTGTGAACTGTGTGTGTGTGTTTGGGCATGCATGTGATGTGTGTGTGTGAGAGAGAGAGAGAGAGTGTGTGCGCAAGTGAGTCTGTGTGCTTATGCATGTGATGAGTGTGAGAGAAAGAAGGTGGAAATAAGGGTATTCTATTTGTGTTCAGGAGAAATCTTGATAAAGTGCTGAAAATACCTGTTTTCTAATGAAATATTGAATACATTGAGTAAACGGAAGCTAAACAAGAATAAATGTCTATCTTAAGAAACCGGAAACAGTGCACCTCTATGACCACTCCATGACTCACTCAGTCATTATTAGGCCTATAACTAGAGTGAGTAATTACTTATTAATAACCACTCACTATGTAGGACCCCCAAAAATGTTAAACCATGTCACAGATCATAGGCCCGCAATGAACAAGATCCCTATTGATTTCTGACAATCTTCTTGACCTTTCAATGAATGAGGTCAGACTGGTCAGTGACCTCTCTCAAGTCAAGAGTTGACCACTGCTGTGGTGACTGGCTGTTTCTCAATTAATCTTTCCTTAATTCCTCACGTCCTCATCTCCTTCTCAAACTACATTGGAGGAGAGGATCCAAGTTCACTCCCCTCGAACCTTCTCCTCCTATGCATATTGAGAAGGGGGTGTGGAGAGAAGATGCAAGGAATCAAAGAAAGAGCCGCTATGCATCATGCTGTTCCTCTGAATTGACTCACTGACAGGAGAGAAGGAGAACAGATGTAGATAAGGTCACTGGTTCATGTAGATGAGTATGTGTGTAGGGGTGACCTCTAATTGACATGTCCTATGGGCTGGACCCATGGGCTGACCACCACTTAGGTCTAGCATTAGTTCCCATAAAGGAAAATATTAAGAGTCAGCATTGGCTTGAGAAAAAGAATCAATGGAGATATTTCTGAAAACATTTCTCATAGGGGAAAAAATAATTTCCTTTCTAATTGTAGATGTATTCATCTTATTTTTTCCCCTTCAGATTACCACAAGGGATCAATTCATGAGGTGCATATCTTATTGAACATTTTGATATCTAAGTTGCCTAAAAATAGCACAAAAAGTTGCAGAATTGGGTGCACCACAAAAGACATGGCAGATGCTCGGTAGTAATGGTAAGCCTATAGGAAGTTGGTTTCCTGAACACAATTTTGATAGAAGTTATCAAACAACTTTGCTTACAACTATGTTTCTGTCTAGCCACAACATCGTTATGGTGTTTCCCCTCCAAACTCATCTCATAATTTTACTATGAGTGTCTTTATAGTACAAACAATGTGCTTACTCATTAATTTGCCTAGACGAAATATAACCATAACATTCATCTGTAAATAACTAACACATTTTACTCATCACTTTATGGCCATAATCAATTCATAATATCTTAGAGGACGCACTGAACTGATGATTTTAAGTCCAATCATAATACAAGTAAGTCATCGATTATTGGCTATAAGTATTTTCTGCTTAGGCTATCTTATCTACACTTTGCAAGGTCTGTGGTCATATTGTTGTCAGGAAATGTGTCAGTGCCTAACTGACATATTTGTCATATTTCTTTGCATATGACAAATTGTCCTACAAAAACGGAGTACACAGAAAGATGGAAATGATATTAAAACATGCATACTGAGCACATTTGCTTGTTGCTGGCTGCCAAAAATCTGATTATAAACAATAAAAAGTATTTACTGAAGGAAATTACAATGGAAGTGTTTTTAAGAGTTATCGCCAGAAAACGTTATGTTCCCCTGATAGGCATACAGGTATAGACAGCATAGTAGACTGCTACTCCACCTGAGGATATGGGTGGAAGGTTGGGACGAGTCGAACATGGAGATAGAACTTGGAGAGCTAGAGGCGCGTGGGCGGATGCCTGCATCGTTCGATTTTATCGTTCTTCTGTTCTGGATGAGAGAATGATTCAGACCTCATTACCATACTCAGGAGACAGAGACGTCTTTCTCTTCGAACCAAAAACAGGTGTTTGGATAGAGGGGTCTCCTGCTCTGCTCCACGCGCTCCCTCCGTGCCTCAGGTACTGCTGTTTTGTTTGCTACCATGGTTTCTCAAGGTAAAACTCTAGCTGTATGTCAGCTAATATTATAATACATTTAAAAGTCTGGCGTGGCTTTTCCATGCATAAAATACCCAAGGTTGATAAAAAAAAGCCTAAACCACACTTTTCAAGTGTCATCAAATCAAATACAATTGTATTTGTCACATGCGCCGAATACAACAGATGTAGACTTTACCATGCAATGCTTACTTACAAGCCCTTAACCAACAATGCAGTTTTAAGAAAATAGAGTTTAAAAAATATTTACTAAAGAAACTAAAGTCAAAATTTAAAACAAAAGTAACAGAATAAAATAACGAGGCTATATACAGGGGGTACCGGTACTGAGTATAGGGGGGGTGTCAATGCAAATAGTCTGGGTGGCTATTTGATCATTTGTTCAGCAGTCTTATGGCTTGCGGGTAGAAGCTGTTAAGGAGCCTTTTGGAACTAGACTTGGTGCTTCAGTACCGCTTGACGTGGGGTAGCAGAGAGAACAGCCTATGACTTGGGTGACTGGAGTCTTTGACAATTTTTTGGGCCTTCCTCTGACACTGCCTAGTATGTAGGTCCTGAATGGCAGGAAGCTTGGCCCCAGTGATGTACTGGGCCGTACGCACTACCCTCTGTAGTGCCTTACGGTCAGATGCCGAGCAGTTCCCATACCAGGCGGTGATGCAACCGGTCAGGATGCTCTCGATGGTGCAGTCGTATAATTTTTTGAGGATCTGGGGACCCATGCCAAATTTTTTCAGTCTCATGAGGGGGAAAAGGCGTTGTTGTGCCCTCTTCACAACTGTCTTGGTATGTTTGGACCATGATAGTTTGTTGGTGATGTGGACACCAAGGAACTTGAAACTCTCGACCCGTCATCATGATGATGGGGCGACAGGTAGCTTAGTGGTTAAGAGCGTTGTGCCAGTAACCGAAAGGTCGCTGGTTCTAATCCCCGAGCTGACTAGGTGAAAAATCTGTCGGTGTGCCCTTGAGCAAGGCACTTAACCCTAATTGCTCCTGTAAGTCGCTCTGGATAAGAGCGTCTGCTAAATGACTTAAAAATGTAAATACAAATAAATAAATAAATGCTTACAGCAATTAATACAAAATAAAATAAAGCTGTTTGGCCTCTGTCTCCATTGGTAAAAGGGAAACATAAAGACTCCAAAAAGGTTGATTGTAGGAATAAAAAGCATCCCAAAACACTTTTTTTTTCTCCAGATTTCATCGTTATGGTGTCAGCAATTCTTCTGATTTGGTTATTCTGGACATAACACTACTTTTCCACTCCATAATAAATTCATAACAGTTTGGCTGGCGTCACCATGCATAAAATGAAAAGGAAGGACTCCAATACTTGAGAAAGAATAGGCCTACTGGCCTTTGTGGGCCAGAACCACTTTTTCACATGTGATCGTGATGGTGCCAGTCTTATTCTTGTTCTGAATAAACTATTCTGGACATATCGCACTACCTTGCCACTCTAGCCTCTGCTCTCCTCCACACCCCACCCTCCCTCTGCTTTACCCGGAGTATAGTACGGCTACTCCTCCTCTTCCCGCCCGGAGGCCTGCTCCTGGAAGCGGTCCAACCTGGGATTGGCTTCCCGCTTTTCACACGGAGCAGGAACTGATGCGCCAGGATAACCATATATGGACTTGCTATCAATTTCGTTGCCATGACTCAGCCTCGCGCCTTATCAATAGAACACGATTGAACACTGTGTGGATACAAGGCGATGGGAAGTGGAATTTGGCTACTGTTCAACCAGTTCTACAAAGACATTGTATAGGCTAAATAATCGTGTTTTTAACCTGAGGAAGACCTATAGTTTTCTTAGGTAAATGACCCAAGCTGTAATTGTAAGGCAATCTTCAATCAGCTAAATGTGTCAGTGATATTTTCTTATATTGACCCTAATAGGCACTAAATAAATGTAGCCTATCAATACATGTAGAGTATTCAAATGTATCAATATGGACGACCTCCACAAGATGAAGCAGTATGAAAATGTATGCGCTCACTAACTGTAAGTCGCTCTGGATAAGAGCGTCTGCTAAATCACTAAAATGTAAAATGTAATATAATATTATATCCAACTGGCAATGCCACCTTTATAACGGTAAAGATAGCCTTCAAGATTATATCCACATCAATATATGAAGTCAAAATGAATCTGAAAGTGGAGGTTTAAGCAAATAACACTACAATTTAACCCAGATAGAAGTATAAAATCATATAAGAAGCCTATCACTTTCCTCTCTCGCAAGTCTTGTTTATCTCAGCAGTTCCTGGCAACAACGTCATCGAGCATCTGACGTTTCAGGGCGTGGAACAAGGGCTGACCAATCGGTGCGTTTCTTGCACTGTAAACTGTATAAATTGCCTGTATCGCATGAACACTGGTAGAACACGAGTTTAGACCAGCGAGGAAACCGCAACACTCCAGATCTCAAAGAAATATCAACGGGACAAAAGACCGTGTGGAATCCAATAATTAGCCACCGGACATCAGTTTGAATACAACTGTCAAGAAAAAAAACCCGACGACTATTGACTCGGTACAGTACAGTTCCACTATTTTGGAAGTTTTGTTCTGTTCTACTTTGATAACTTTGGGCTTGATTATAATATACCTTCTGCGGAAACGTTTGGTTGCTGAAAAGACACTCGAGAGGGCTTGCCCTTTTTTGGACGTATAAATTCAGCTACTACACTGAAGAATTCCAGCAATATTTGAATAATGTCCACAATAATGGAACAGCCTTTCTATCATGACGACTCGTTTCTTTCTGCTTATGGTCATTCAGGCGCTGCCCTGCACGACTACAAGCTCCTCAAGCAGAACATGAACTTGAACTTCGCCGAGAACTATCGGAACCAAAGCCTCAAGGCTCAGCTGCGCTCCGAGAGTGAATTCTATCCGACCGGGAGCGCATCGGAAGTCGGCTCGCTGAAGCTCGCCTCTCCTGAACTGGAACGACTGATCATCCAGAACAGCAACGGTGTCATCACTACCACACCGACACCTGGGCAGTACTTCTACAGTCGGGGAATCACAGAGGAGCAAGAGGGCTTCGCGGACGGGTTCGTCAAAGCTCTGGACGACCTCCACAAGATGAACCAGATGCCGCCACCGAACGTGTCCATCGGAACTGGTGGAGTCTCCACGTGCACGGTGGCCTCCACCGTGTTTGGTTCCTCCATGCAGCAGGAGCACCTCGAGTACACCACCCTGAACAGCTGTGGCCCTCACACTACCCTCACACCTGCAACCAGCAGCTACCCCTCCACCACCATCAGCTACCTGCCTCAGCACCAGTACCATCACCACCAAGCCGCTGCGCACCCATCCCACCACTTCCAGCACTCGCTAGCCGGAGCAGGCCTACACGCACAGCGATATTCGGGGCTGAAAGAGGAGCCCCAGACCGTCCCAGACATGCAGAGCAGTGACGACGAGTCACTTCGCGGCATGTCCCCAATCGACATGGAGAACCAGGAGCGCATCAAGGCCGAGCGCAAGAGGCTCAGGAACCGCCTGGCAGCCACCAAGTGCCGGAAGCGAAAGCTGGAGCGCATCTCGCGCCTGGAGGACAAAGTGAAGGTTCTGAAGACAGACAACGCCGGGCTCTCGAGCACAGCTTCCGTCCTGCGCGAGCAGGTAGCTCAACTCAAACAGAAAGTTATGACACACGTCAGTTCCGGCTGTCAACTCATGTTGACGTCCAAGATCAAGTCGTTTTGAAAACTATAAAACGATGGACTATAAAAGAAACACTGGACAATAATGGGGAGGACATTTGTTTTACTTTGTTAAAGCAAACATAACTTTTACTGCACTGTTGGGACAGCAATTGACGAACTTTGTAAACTACCATTGATGTGTTTTCATGTTGAAAATATTCAAAAGTTTGTTATTTTTGCATTGTTTATTGGTTTCCAGACTGATGGACATGGGAAACCACGTGCACAACAATAAGACTAATAACACTCGGGGAATTCTGAACAAGTTGTATAAAGTGTCATGTAGTTATGGCTTTGCCTGTTTACATTTGTTTTAATTTTTTTTACTTTGAAAAGTCATGTGAAATGCATTCCATTTATAAGTTATTGTGTTAAGTCAGGTTGAACCTCACTGTCTTTTTTACTTGTACAGTATATATTTAAGTAAAATATCTTTACATTTACCCTCTGTCTATTTTACTTTTGTATCCTTTCTACACAACTACATTGACATTTCTCAAACCAATGAACGTTATAGGCCTATGAGTTAGATACAGCCTAGGCCTATATGACATTTCAGCTATAGTGTTCATGACAAGCTTTAGTGTTATCAACATTATATAAGTAGAAGCAGGAGTGTTGTTTACATGGATACATAATTCCTTTGAGATTTCCCACGCTAACCAGTAAATTATCATTAGGAACTGTTTCTGTTTTTAAATCAACCAACATAAAAACGGGGCATGACGTACGAGACGTGCCCGCGTTGGGTTGTTTGCCCTCACTGACGTACATACGTATGGACAAATATGGTAATGTTTTGGTATCACACGTCACAGCAGGGGGAAGATTTCCGGGAACCCCCACCTACATTGCCCGTCAGTACAGCGGTGCCTTTTCGATAGACCTTACACTACTAGGCCATACTGTGCGTGTGAAGAGACGTTTCTCAATGGCAAGCTTTTATTAAAGACGGGGGGAGTTCCCCTATTCAGCCACCGCAGCGTTCAATTTCCCAAAACAACCCTATGCGAAACTAATGTCGAGATAAAAATACACGGGTCCATTTTCCAGCAAAGCAAACGATATTCTGCTGACGTGAAAATGGAAACTAAACATTTTTATGCTATGTGTGAGTAATCTTGTACATGTCTCTGAACATTCAAAGTCTAATGTAAACTCAGCAAATAGCCTGTGCAATAAATTATGAACAGGAAAAGTGTAGGCAGTATGAAAATGTATGCACTCACTAACTGTAAGTAGCAATGGATAAGAGCGTCTGCTAAAATGTCAAATTGATATCAGCACAGAGTTCAGTAAATTCAACTCCGTTCAATTGAAGATATCCATATTACAGGGATCTAAACTAGAGCTAGGCACATATCCTCTGAACAGTTTGCCAAGGATCTAGGGACGGCAGGGTATTGAGGTTGGATGCGGAGAGCGGTAGGTTCTCTGCATTTATTAGGTGACCAATTGGGACAGCCTTATTGATATCAACTTTATAGAAAAGGTGTCATCTGATGACAGTGCTTTTATAATATAGCCTGCTTTAAGGAATACAATATAGGGTACAGGATATCCAACTGATAAAGACTGTGCTGGGAATTCTCCACATTACACACCAACACAATCTTGCAAAACCTTTATTATATCACCACCTACCATTGTTGAAGCCTCCAACTGCTCTTAAACACTAGTAAAACTAAATGCATGCTCTTCAACCGAACGCTGCTTGCACCCGCCCACCCGACTAGAATCACTACTCTAGACGGGTCTGACCTAGAGTATATGGACAACTACAAATATCTAGGTGTCTGGTTAGACTGTAAACTCTCCTTCCAGACTCATATTAAGAATCTCCAATCCAAAGTTAAATCTAGAATCGGTTTCCTATTTCGCAACAAAGCCGCCTTCACTCATGCTGCCAAACATGCCCTCGTAAAACTGACTATCCTACCGATCCTTGACTTCGGCGATGTCATTTACAAAATAGCCTCCAACACTCTACTCAGCAAATTGGATGTTGTCTATCACAGTGCCATCCGTTGTGTCTCCAAAGCCCCATATAATACCCACCACTGTGACCTGTACGCTCTTGTTGGCTGGTCCTCACTACATATTCGTCGCCAAACCCACTGGCTCCAGGCCATCTATAAATCACTGCTAGGCAAATCCCCGCCTAATCTTAGCTCATTGGTCACCATAGCAACACCCACCCGTAGTCTGCGCTCCAGCGGGTATATCTCACTGGTCATCCCCAAAGCCAACACCTCCTTTGGCCGCAATTCCTTCCAGTTCTCTGCTGCCAATGACTGGAACAAATTGCAAAAATCTCTGAAGCTGGAGACTTATCTCCCTCACTAACTTTAAGCATCAGTTGTCAGAGCACCTTACCGATCACTGCACCTGTACACAGCCCATCTGAAATTAGCCCGCCCAACTACCTCATCCCTATATTGTTATTTATTTTGCTCATTTGTACCCCAGTATCTCTATTTGTACATCATCTCTTGCACATCATTCCAGTGTTAATACTAAATTGTAATTATTTTGCACTATAGCCTATTTTATTGCCTTACCTCCATAACTTGCTAAATTTGCACACTGTATATTATATGTATTTCTGTTGTATTTTTGACTTTGTTTTGTTTTACCCCATATGTAACTCTGTGTTGTTGTTTTTATCGCACTGCTTTGCTTTATCTTGGCCAGGTCGCAGTTGTAAATGAGAACTTGTTCTCAACTGGTTTACCTGGTTAAATAAAGGTGAAATAAATAAAATTAAAATAAAAGATCTGTCAACTGATTTAGGAGAGAATCTGGCAAAGTGGCGTTAGGGCTCCACCTAGTGGTCAAAACTAAATTCCACACATGACAACAAACTGATAACTTCCACTTGGTTTTATTTGTCAGACAAAACACTGCCAACATGTAAGTAATTATTTTCCCATTTGTTATTAATATCACGTGACTGTAGACTGAGTAGTTAACAATTGCAAGGTACAAAATATTCAATGTTTTTCTAACACTTGAGATAAAGGAGAAAAAACAAAACACTTTCAGTGCTTGGGACTAGAAGAGACTGTTTCCACCAGTAGTTTGTCATACAGATACAAGATTTTGTAACAATGTCAAGATAGAAGAGTGGGAGTCTAACGAGTTCTTTAGAACTAAAGATGTACAAGTGTGGGTTGGACGCCAAGAGACTGCTGCTAAAGGGGGGGACTTCCCATCTGAAGGTAAGTGCTAGGACATCTCAGGAGTGCCTGAGCGTGGGTCGGAAATGGCACCCTATTCACTAAAGTGCACAACCTTTGACCGGGGTCCATATGCACTACATAGGGTGCCATTTTGGACACAGCCTGAGGCTCCGTTGTGTGGTTACTGTTTGGAGAAGAACTCCTTGCTCTTCTGGATGTCGGGGACGATGGTGTCACTGCCTGGCTTCCAGCCAGCGGGACACACTATTCCAGGAAGAGAGGGACAAGCCCAGGATGAGTCACACTGACATGGAATATTCTTCCAAACACATTCCACATGTTCTAAACTAACTGAGCTCCCATATAAAATAGCCTAATGAAATTGTATAGGTGTTGTAAACAGAAAGTGTTAGCTGTTGGTTTACTGAATGACCATGCCGAAATGTCCTGTGCATAGCAACGCGACTAGATCCAGATGCTGCAGGCTCTATGCAGACTTTTTATTACAAGGAGCACGTGTGCAACAAAGTTGAAAAATGTAGGCGCACAAAGTTCCAGGTGGCGCAAACTATTTTGCCGCATATGTGAGTAAAATGGTCGCACTGTAGAGCCCTGTGCTGGTTCCTGAAGTAAGAACTAGGTAGCAAAAACATGTAAAACCTGCTAGTCGCTTACCCTCGCCGTATTTGTCTGTGTGCTGGAAGGCCTGCACCAGACGCAGGGTCTCGTCCACAGAGCGGCCCACTGGCAGGTCGTTGATGGTGATCTGCCTCAGGATGCCCTTGTCGTCAATCACAAACAGACCCCTGACAGAGAGGGAGAAGACACGGAGGGAGAGAGAGGAAGCAGACAGTGAGAGGGTCAGAAGGCCACATGGGGCATCTGTGATAGACTGTGCTAGAATCAATACAGGAGTCACCTAACATGGAGGTGAATCAAATGCAAAATGAAGCATACACATAAACATGCACACATTCATTTAAAAATAACCTTACAAGTGCACACTAAAACTTCAAATAGCACCTTGCATACAGAGGCTTCACATACACACTACTGATGGCAGTGTTGTAACTAACTGACCTGTAAGCGATGCCCTGGTCCTCCTTTAGCACTCCGTAGTCTCTGGAGATGGACTGTGTGAGGTCAGCCACCAGGGGGATGTTCATTGGTCCCAGTCCACCCTGCTTCCTGGGGGTGTTGATCCTATAGGGAGGGAAAGGGAAAGCGCACAATGTCGTCATACCATAACCTCAAATACAGCCCTTGTTTACGCTTCATTAAGGATGTAGTGAGCGTCACATAGTAACAGAAAGTCAAATTAAGAATTCTAAAGGCTGACATTCACACAATAATAGTGAACAAAGTAAATTAACCATTGATGCAAATGTAACCTACATAGATGGATGATTGTAACACCATTGTTGGATTGAGTCCAGTGACCGTTAGTCTGCTGAGAGCTATGGCTCCTATCACCACTAGGCAGTACAGCAGGCAGAGACAAGATAGCCAGAGGGTGGGAGTGTACTCAAAAGCCTGCTTAAATGTTTTACAATTGGCAGATGTGGACAGCTGGAAAACATTTTACACTGACAATTTGTTATCGGTTCAAATAGGTTAGCCTCTTGACCATTCTGATCGAGGTGCTGTCAGGTGCAAGAATATTTAACCCTACTGTATATCTCCATGCCTTTAAAGTTCCCATCAATAGAAAAGACTTGAACAATTAAATGATCAAAAGCCTAAACCAGTTCTTACCAGGCCAGATGGCTGAAGTGAGAGTCTGTGGAGGCGCCGATGACCTCACAGCCGATCTTGCGGAACTCCTCGGCCTGGTCGCTGAAGGCCACGATCTCAGTGGGGCACACAAAGGTGAAGTCCAGCGGGTAGAAGAAGAACACCACATACTTCCCTGGAGGGGACACACGCAGGAGAGGAGTCAGAAGAGTGTGTGTGTGTATGTTTGGGTACATGTAGGCCTAATCTCAGGGACAGCAATAACACTGAGTAGCTGATTTGGTTCTGGGTACGAAGATTATTGTACATGCTACTCTACAGCCTATTATTTTGAAGGTAAGTCACCTTTGAAGATGCAAGTACATCAGAGAGTTACATTTACATTGTAGTCAGAATATTCACTTTCATTTTTTAAGTACTTTGGGCACACACAGCTGAGTGACCTTGTTAAAACTGCCATCATGAGTAGTTCTGCATGGTTGTTAAAGACAACGATGTAATTGACAGTAACGATGAAGATCCTTACCTTGGTAGTTAGTCTGATTAATCAGGCTGTAATACACAATTAATTGGTATATAGAGCCTGTGACATTTGTGTGCAAAATTGTGTAAATGGTCCTTACAAGCCAGAATGTTGAATAAAATTACATTTAAACTTGCTCTACCAGTTGTCTGTGCAGTTTGTCCTTCTGTTGATGGAAAATTGAGACAACATATCCACAGAGTAGTGTTATTAACCCGACTTTCAGTACACTGGTCTGTATAACAGTTTGTACTTCCAGTTTTTATTTTCAATACTGATGCAATTCGCACGTGCCAAACACTTGCACAATATGGCCGAGCCTAACAGAACCACAGACCAAATGGCAAACACTTCCAGCTGATTGCGAGGAAACATTGCTTTGGTTGACTACTTCTGGTTACATTTGGACCTACCGGGGCCAGGTAAACAACACTTTCATGTGGATACCCCATCACCACCTCCTACCGCTACCGCCTAAAGGACCAACAGCATGTACAACCGGTAAAGTAACCTCAAACATCATTTTATATAACATTCTGGGGTGTAGAGACTTGACTCTTTCAGACTGATATCCATGGAGTAACCATGGTAACATTCTGATGTTTAGGCAACTTTGTAGTTAGATGGTAACCTGTTAACGACTGACCTGCCAATTAAATTGTCATTTAGAGAAAGTCAAAAGTCCTTACCTATGTAGTCAGACAGCTGGATATCTTTGAACTGTCCGTCCACCACAGCAGTGGCTTTGAACTGTGGGGCCGGCTGGCCTATTTTAGCGTTTCCAGCAGACATGGTGGTGACTGACAGCTCACTGGAAAGACTACGAACGACCCAGCAAAGCAAATCAACAGTGAATCAATACAGTTTGGAACTTCACGTCTCAATGTGCCAAAGCAAATGGGGTGGAGTCTAGTAGGCTATGCTCCAGGAGCCTCACTCCTTTTTAACAAGCATTAGCATATGAAGAAAAAAAGTCATTCAGTCATACAATGTAAGCAATAGTCAAAGTAATACAAAAACACTTAAATGAGAAGTTTTTGAAAAAATGCTCAAAGCGCCAGGTTTCTTACACTGAATTCAATTATACTGCAGTGCTGTACTAGCTACCTAGCTGTATAATGCTGCAGGATCAATGCGCCAATGCCAAGTCTAGTCACATGCAAGTCAGTTGTTCTGAAGGCTGTGCGTGAGAACAAAGGTCTCACAGTGTTGCCTTAAACCTTGCCCAATGAAGAAATTCCATACTCCGTTGACATTCAAAGGTCCTTTATAATAGTTTCACTCATTTGTGTCGGGAAATTGATTACTACATTGTTGGGTTTGGAACTTGCAAGAAAGGCATTTCACTGTACTTGTGCCCTTGACAAACTTGAAACTATATAATTAAATCAAATTGTATTTGTCACATGCGCCGAATACAACAGACTTTACCGTGAAATGCTCACTTACAAGCCCTTAACTCTATTTCTTGAACTGCATTGTTGGTTAAGAAAATATTTACTAAATAAACAAAAAGTAACACAATAAAATAACAATAACGAGGCTATATACAGGGGGTACCGGTACCGAGTCACTGTGCGGGGGTACAGGTTAGTCGAGGTAATTTGTACATGTAGGTAGGGGTAAAGTGACTATGCATAGATAAACAGCGAGTAGTAGCAGTGTAAAATCAACATGTTATGTAATAACAATGAAACAATTTAATAGTATTATGTATGCATTCATTTACTAGCCATCTATGCAGGTAGTTACATTACAACTAGCTAGCTAATTGGCTAACAAGGTGCCAAGCCTCCACACCCACCAAACTGTTCAAAAGGACAAAGAACAAGCTAGTAAGACATAGCCCGCAAGTAGAAGGAGGATTGACCCACAATGCCTAGCTAACGTTAGTTGCTAGCTAGCAAACTCGCTAGCCGGTTTCTTTTGTCTGCAACTCTTCGCAACTTCAGCAAAAATAGCAACATGTTAGCAGCTGAAAAATACACTGTAGTACACTGGAGTGATAGTCGAAGTAGCTAATGTATACTTACGTTTCTTGTGAAAGGCATAAAGATACGTTTTTGTGTTGCGGTTTGCTGCAGTGGCGTGGAAGCCGCTAATACAGAAGAGAAAACTTTCCCCATCCGTTTTAAAAGATTTTGTTTTCAAAATAAAAGTCGCCAGAGAACTCGTTTAAATAAATGTCAATAGAATTGGATTGCTTGTTGTGTGATTAATTAGAATTCAAAACACTTTCTGATATTACACAATATGTGTACACAAAAGTGTTTCTGTGGGATGACACCACATTATATGATAATTCTTTCATGTTCAATCGATGGATTTAGGACAAGGACTTTTAATTTGTATGAGTAAACATTTTGACCCGGAAACGATTGCTGTAAACTCTTCACAGGCGCTGATGGTGGAACACGGGTTAAGTTGTCGAATTCAATTATTAAAGAGAATAATATTGCATATTTTCGGTGAGTTATGGTCTATTTAACTAGTTAAGTTCCTAGCTACCTATCATATCTTATTGTGAAGTATCCTATTCTCTGACAAATCCCGTTTTCAACAAACCTAGCTATCTAGCCAGCAAGCTAACGTTAGCTAGCAAAGTGCAGTCATTTAGTTCGCAAACTACAATACCAGTTTACTTATTATTTTTTGCTTAGTTGAGTCTGATGTCCAAGCTGTGGACTTGTATTTTCAAATCGTTATGGCAGCTAGCTAGCTAGCTTACAATCTGAGCAAATGAACTCATATCTCTGTTTACATCTATTGAAAGGGAACTCAGCTCAGCTGCTGTTGCTGGTCTGAGTGTCATTCAAGAAGTTTGACAGCCCTCGAGTTGGAATTGACTGGTACATTCTGACCAAATCAGAGTGGTCTGAATTGACTGGATGCGGCATGCTGTTTCAGTTCAGTTACATTCTAACCAATGAGCGCTAAGACATTCACCATATATTTTCTATCCATTTCCCCCTTCTCAATTATCTCAGGTACAGAAGAAGACAACAGCCTAGGCTAGATCCGTTTTCAACCCTGGAATCAAACTCATCCAGTCACCCGCATTCATGGAGAACACAAAAGAAGCGGGTAAGAACAAAGAGAGGAAAAGAGAGAATTTAGACTAAGAAGGTGTGCATGAATTATAGTCTGAGCCAGCTGGAACCATTTTTGATTAGAAGCATAGTCATGCCTCATCAGATTCAGAATGTCTCTGGATTTACACTCACACTCTTACTATTTCCTCTGCACCACTTCCTCTCTCTTCCCTTCCTCTCTCTCCTCCCTTGTCCTCTCTCTCCTACCTCCTCTCTCTCCTTCCTCCTCTCTCTTCCCTCCTCCTCTCTCACCTCCCTTCCTCCTCTCTCCTCCCTCCTCCTCTCTCTCTTGTCCCTCAGCCCCGTCCCCGGTCATGTGTGAGGTGTGCGGGACCTACTTCGAGACGCGGCGGGGTCTCTCCAGTCACGCCCGACTCCACCTCCGTCAGCTCGGCGTGGCTGTCTCGGACAACAGCGGAGCTCCAATCGACTTGCTCTACCAGCTGATTCAGGACAGGGACGGTTCCATGCATCCACTCAAACCCATCTACTCTTCACCCAAAAAATCCAAGGGGTCAGGGACGCTCATCTCCCAGAAGGAGTCCCCTCTAGGGGGTAGGGTCAAAGTAATGACGACCCCACAGAATAATATATCCCAGGTAGCCCCGGGCCCCACAGCTCGTAAAGGAACAGTTTTGGCCAAGCCTCTGCAGTCTTCCATGTCGTCGTTCCCAACAGCAGGCAAGACGCCATCGCCCTCAGGGGGAGCGAGCCTGGCCTCGGCCAAGCCTGCCTGGGCACCGCAGGAGACGGATGCCCCTCTCACCCTAGGTAAGTCTCAGCTTGGGTGTTTTAGATTGGAGTAGATATTTGAAGTGTTTCGTTATTAGATGTGTGTCATCAGGAAGTCACATAGTAGGCCTATTATGTGTGGAATTGAACGTTGTACCATTACATATAGATAGACATTTCTGTTCTTATGTAATGACATTATTAACTTCAAGTAGAACGTGGCACATTCTAACACCAGTCTCTGGCTCCTCCCCTGCCTCGACAGCGATGGACACCAATGACGAGGTGCATGTGTGCCAATTGTGCGGTGCCTGGTATGAGTCCCGCAAAGGCCTGGCCAGTCACTGCCGGGCCCACTTGCGCCAGTTCGGCATCACCGAGAACACCGAGACGAAAGGAGGACCAATAGAATTCCTCTACCAGATCATGGAAGCGGAAGACCTCCAACCTATAGCAAGTGAAGGTCTCAACGTCTATAACCCATCTATGTCTTCTAACTCTAACAAACGGCCCTCCGGCTCTGGTTCGTCCACCTCGCCTGCTAGACATAAAGGATCCCCCCCCTCCTCCCTTCACCAGCCTCCCTCCAGCAAACGGCCCAAGCCCTCCGCATCAGAAGGAACCGCTCCGCAGGATCATAGGCTCAGCAAGGGTGAGTTTCAAGTTATTTTTGAAGGGGCATTCTGCGATTGGTACATCCATTTAGTTGAAGTCATATTTTAAGTCCAATTAATTCATTTTAGTTTAAGTCATTTTAAAGGGATGTCACAACACAATTCAAAGAACAGAAAAAGAAAGGTAAATGATAAAACCTCAAGTGATTTAATAAAAAACATATAATTTGAAATACAGGTGAGTTCACCTGCGTGTTGTGTGGCGAGGAGTTTGAGAACCGTAAAGGCCTAGCGAGCCACTCCCGCTCTCACCTGCGCCAGCTCGGCGTCACCGACCTCCTGGGCAAGGCATCGGCCATCGACACGGTCCAGCAGCTGGTCAGCAGCGGTGTGCTGGCGGCCGCCGCATCGGCACAACCCAGTAACAACACCACCACCACCAAGACCCCGTCTCAGTCTCCAGCTAGATCCCCAGCTAACGCCCACCTCAGCCCCTTGGCCTCCAGCCACAACCCCAGGCCCAAGGCCAAGAAGGGCTCCACCCTGGTCTATCCCAAGCCGGAACCCCTGGAGATGGAGATGGATGTGGGGTTCTCCAGTCCGCTTGGGGGGTACAGCAGCAGTAATGGATCTCAGGGTTCTCAGAAGTGGCCCAACTCTGCTGGAAATGGCCAGTCCTTCAACTCAGGTAAGATGTGGGTCCTATCTTTTTGACCAAGTGGTATAAATTCTGTGGTTTCTAATTTGTTTGTCAAATTCCCTCTTCTATTTGTGTTTTTCTGTTTTACCATTATATAACTGCACTCATAGACCATTGACCATCCATTCAGTCAAAGCAGCATAGCTAAATGCAGTGACATGTCAAGTGAATGGCGCCGGAGGAGGTGGCTGCCGTTTTACGTGCTCCTAACCAATTGTGCTATTTTGTGTGTTTTTTCGCGTTGTACATAATGTTTCTGCCACCGTCTCTTATGACCGAAAGTAGCTTCTGGATATCAGAAAAGAGATTACTCGCCTCAAACTGGACGAAGATGTTTTCTTTAACGAGTCGGACGCGAAGGATTTACTCCAGATACGCGACCAGGTCCAAATCCCTGTCATTCGTATGAAGAAAAGACACTGACACAGGGGACGCAGGTCCGGATGCCTTGTGAGAATTTGTCAGTGAGTGGGTAACCCGCCTCTACCATCCGTCCTTTTGGCCAAAGTGCAATCATTGGAGAATAAACTGGATGAGCTCCGTTCAAGAATATCCTACCAACGGGACATTAAAAACTGTAATATCTTATGTTTCACAAGTCGTGGCTGAACGATGACATGGATAATATACAGTTGGTTGGTTTTTCCATGCATCGGTAAGACAGAACCGCTGCCTCCGGTAAGACAAGGGGTGGCGGTCTGTGTCTATTTGTCAATAACAGCTGGTGCACGAAATCAAATATTAAGGAAGTCTCAAGGTTTTGCTCGCCTGAGGTAGAGTATCTCATGATAAGCTGAAGACCACACTATTTACCAAGAGAGTTTTCATCTATATTTTTTGTAGCTGTCTATTTACCACCACAACCCGATGCTGGCACTAAGACCGCACTCAACAAGCTGTATAAAGCCATAAGCAAACAAGAAAATGCTCATCCAGAGGCGGCGCTCCTAGTGGCCGGGGACTTAATGCAGGGAAACTTACATCCGTTTTACCTAATTTCTACCAGCATGGGAAAAAAAGCTCTAGACCACCTTTACTCCACACACAGAGACGCGTACAAAGCTCGCCCTCCATTTGGCAAATCTGACCATAACTCTATCCTCCTGATTCCTGCTTACAAGCAAAAACTAAAGCAGGAAGTACCAGTGACTCGCTCAATACGGAAGTGGTCAGATGACGCAGATGCTAAGCTACAGGACTGTTTTGCTAGCACAGACTGGAATATGTTCCGGGACTCATCCGATGGTATTGAGGAGTATACAACATCAGTCACCAGCTTCATCAATAAGTGCATCGATGACGTTGTCCCCACAGTAACCGTACGCATATACCCCAACCAGAAGCCATGGATTACAGGCGACATCAGCACTTAGCTAAATGGTAGAGCTGCCACTTTCAAGAAGCGGGACTTTAACCCGGACGCTTATAAGAACTCCTGCAATACCCTCAGACGAACCATCAAACAGGCAAAGCGTAAATACAGGACTAAGATTGAATCCTACTACACCGGCTCCGACGCTCGTCGGATGTGGCAGGGCTTGCAAACTATTACGGACTACAACGGGAAGCATGGCCGCGAGCTGCCCATTGACACAAGCCTACCAAACGAGCTAAATTACTTCTATGCACGCTTCAAGGCAAGCAACACAGAAGTATGCATGAGAGCACCAGCTTTTCCGGACGACTGTGTGATCACGTTCGCCGATGTGAGTAAGACCTTGAAACAGGTCAACATTCACAAGGCCGTAGGGCCAGACGGATTACCAGGACGTGTACTCCGAGCATGCGCTGACCAACTGGCAAGTGTCTTCACTGACATTTTCAACCTGTCCCTGGCCGAGTTTGTAATACCAACATGTTTCATGCAGACCACCATAGTCTGTGTGCCCAAGAACACCAAGGTAACCTGCCTAAATGACTACCGATCCGTAGCCCTCACGTCTGTAGCCATGAAGTGCTTTGAAAGGCTGGTCATGGCTGACATCAACACCATCATCCCAGAAACCCTATACCAACTCCAATTTGCATACCACCCCAACAGATCCACAGATTACGCAATCTATTGCACTCAACACTGCCCCTTCCCACCTGGACAAGAGGAACACCTACATGAGAATGCTGTTCATTGACTACAGCTCAGCGTTCAACACCATAGTGCCCTCAAAGCTCATCACTAAGCTAAGGACCCTGGGACTAAACACCTCCCTCTGCAACTGGATCCTGGACTTCCTGACGGGCCGCCCCCAGGTGGTAAGGGTAGGCAACAACACATCTGCCACGCTGATCCTCAACACGGGGGCCCCTCAGGGGTGCGTGCTTAGTCCCCTCCTGTACCCCCTGTTCACCCATGACTGTGTGGCCAAGCACGACTCCAACATCATCATTAAGTTTGCTGACGACACTGCTGTGGTAGGCCTGATCACCGACAACGATGAGACAGCCTATAGGGAGGAGGTCAGAGACCTGGCAGTGTGGTGCCAGGACAACAACCTCTCCCGCAACGTGATCAAGACAAAGGAGATGATCGTGGACTACAGGAAAAAGAAGAGGACCGAGCACGCCCTCATTCTCATCGACGGGGCTGTAGTGGAGCAGGTCGAGAGTTAAGTTCCTTGGTGTCCACATCACCAACAAACTATCATGGTCCAAACACACCAAGACAGTTGTGAAGAGGGCACGACAAGGCCTATTACCCCTCAGGAGACTGAAAAGATTTGGCATGGGTCCTCAGATCCTCAACAAGTTCTACAGCTGCACCATCGAGAGCATTCTGACTGGTTGCATCATCGCCTGGTATGGCAACTGCTCGGCCTCCGACCACAAGGCGCTACAGAGGGTAGTGCGTACGGCCCAGTACATCACTGGGACCGAGCTTCCTGCCATCCAGGACCTCTATACCAGGCGGTGTCAGAGGAAGGCCCTATAAGTGGTAAAAGACTCCAGCCACTCTAGTCATAGACTGTTCTCTCTGCTACCGCAAGGCGAGCGGTACCGGAGCGCCAAGTCTAGTTCCAAAAGGCTTCTTAACAGCTTCTAGCCCCAAGCCATAAGACTGCTGAACAGCTAATCAAATGGCTAACTGGACTATTTGCATTGACCCCCCCCCCCCCCCCCCCCCCTTTTTTTTAAACGCTGCTGCTACTCGCTGTTTATTATCTATGCATAGTCACTTTACCTCTACCTACATGTACATATTACCTCTACTAACCTTTACCCCCGCACATTGACTCGGTACAGGTACCCGCTGTATATGTTATTGTTATTTTATTGTTGCTCTTTTATTTTTTACTTTAGTTTATTTAGTAAATATTTTTCTTAACTCTTATTTTTCTTAAAACTGCATTGTTGGTTAAGGGCTTGTAAGTAAGCATTTCACGTTAAGGTCTACACCTGTTGGATTCGGCGCATGTGACAAATAAAATTTGATTTGATTTTGACAAATCCTTCCCTCCCTTCCCCAGGTTCAGACCAGGAGCTCATGATCACCTGTGAGTTCTGCGGCCAGTTCTTTGACAGCCGCAAGGCCCTGTCCTGCCATGCCCGCTCCCACCTGCGCCAGCTGGGAGTCATGTGGTCTGTCAACGAGTCGCCCATCGACCTGCTGAGAGACATCCTGCTGAAAGAGGGCAGTGCCACCGCCACCCAGGTGAGTGTGTGTATGTGTGCGGTCCAGTTGGCCACGGAGGTCAGATCGGTATCTCATCATGTGCTACCTACATGCTGCGGTTGTGCCCTTGAGCAAAGCACTAAGGGGCGAATCTTAACTTCTGCTTAAAGGGTAACTCTCAACCCCAATTTCAGCCTTTGCATTCAGGTGAGAAGTTGTGGGTGGGCGGAATTTGCTCACCATCAGAAATATTCATTTTGGGGATAGGTAAACGTAGTTGTACCTGATCCAAACACTTTCTCACTAAAGCATACTTACCAGAAGTCCACTGGCACGCTCTCATAATAGAATTATGTGCATCGTAAGCAAATATGGCTCTGGACAGTTAGCTCACAGTGTAATGCGCAGAGTTCCTGACATCTATTGTAAGTTCGAATCCCCCGTGGGGCGCAAAAAATTATATTTGAAATGTGGAATTGCATTTATTGTGTTGGGAAGAAAAGTGCAACCATCACCTAGAAAATGAAGATTAGGGGTTCAATTCAATTCAACCCACATTGCAGTATTTACGCACTAGCTGTTTTTCCAATGGTCAAATTAACTCGCAGATTGGTCTTGGGTACTGTATAAAAACAGACTATTACCAGGCGACCCCTCTCACAGGTTAACTTTTTTGAATTAGAAGTGTGGGCACGAGATGAATATATATACAGTACCAGTCAAAAGTTTGGACACACCTTACTCATTCCAGGGTTTTTCTTTATTTTTACTATTTTCTACATTGTAGATTAATAGTGAAGACATCAAAACTATGAAATAACACATATGGAATCATGTAGTAACCAAAAAAGTGTTAAACAAATCAAAATATATTTGAGATTCTTCAAAGTAGCCACCCTTTGCCTTGATGACAGCTTTGCACACTATTGGCATTCTCTCAACCTGCTTCATGAGGAATGCTTTTCCAACAGTCTTGAAGGAATTCCCACATATGCTGAGCACTTGTTGGCTGCTTTTCTTTCACTCTGCAGTCCAACTCATCCCAAACCATCTCAATTGGGTTGAGGTCGGGTCATTGTGGAGGCCAGGTCATCTGATGCAGCACTCCATCACTCTCCTTCTTGGTCAAATAGCCCTTACACAGCCTGGAGGTGTGTTTTGGGTCATTGTCCTGTTGAAAAACAAATGATAGTCCCACTAAGCGCAAACCAGATGGGATGGTGTATCGCTGCAGAATGCTGTGGTAGCCATGCTGGTTAAGTGTGCCTTGAATTCTAAATAAATTACAGACAGTGTCTCCAGCAAAGCACCCCCACACCATAACATCTCCTCCTCCATGCTTCACGGTGGGAACCACACATGCAGAGATCATCCGTTCACCAACTCTGTGTCTCACAAAGACACGGCGGTTGGAACCAAGAATCTCAAATTTGGACTCATCAGACCAAAGGACACATTTCCACCGGTCTAATGTCCATTGCTTGTGTTTCTTGGCCCAAGCAAGTCTCTTCTTATTATTGGTGTCCTTTAGTAGTGGTTTCTTTGCAGCAATTCAACCATGAAGGCCTGATTCACGAAGTATCCTCTGAACAGTTGTTGTTGAGATGTGTCTGTTACTTGAACTCTAAAGCATTTATTTGGGCTGCAATCTGAGGCTGGTAACTCTAATGAACTTGTCCTCTGTAGCAGAGGTAACTCTGGGTCTTCCTTTCCCGTGGCAGTCCTCATGAGAGCCAGTTTCATCATAGCGCTTGATGGTTTTTGCGACTGCACTTGAAGAAACGTTCAAAGTTCTTGACATTTTCCGTATTGACTGACCTACATGTCTTAAAGTAATGATGGACTGTCATTTCTCTTTGCTTATTTGAGCTGTTCTTGCCATAATATGTCACAACACAACTGATTGGCTCAAACGCATTAAGAAGGAAAGAAATTCCACAAAATAACGTTTAACAAGGCACACCTGTTAACTAAAATGCATTCCAGGTGACTACCTCATGAAGCTGGTTGAGAGAATGCCAAGAGTGTGCAAAACTGTCATCAAGGCAAAGGGTGGCTACTTTGAAGAATCTAAAATCTAAAATATATTTTGATTTGTTTAACACTTTTTTGGTTACTACATGATTCCATATGTGTTATCATAGTTTTGATGTCTTCACTATTATTCTACAATGTAGAAAATAGTAAAAAATAAAGAAAAACCCTTGAATGAGTAGGTGTATATCTGCCCTATGTGGGAGAACTCACAACCATTGGGCCATGAGTCAACTGTTTTAGCTTTTGACATGACCACCTTTGTCATCTATTTCTTGTTACAATGGATGTAGCTACGAATAAATCTGTAGAATCCTCATAGCTACATGTTTTTTTGTCTTCGTAAAAGCACATGGATGTGTATGAAACGGTAAGCAAAAACGTTGAATTTGGTCATATGCGGAAATGTGCCTTACTGCCTTTTGAATTTTGTTTAAAGTCAGTAGTCTGGTCAACAAAATATATTGGCACACTTCACTGGCAAATAAGGCGCGCTGTCACCTGCTTTTATAGTTAGCCTTGAGGTGGTACCACCCAGTACATCTAGAAGGGAGTGGATTTTATACCTAACCCCTCCCTTGAGATAACAGAGGCCCCTTTAACACGGTTTCAATGGTAGAGTTGAACCACTAGGGGCAAAAAGAGCTCGATTTTCTACTAAAATACCAAAATATATCACTTTTGCAACAAACTGTCAAAATGAAGATCAGAATTGACGTGTTTCACTATAACTAAACGTAAAACATCAGGTTTTGTTTTTTATTTTAAGTCGATTGTTCATATAGTCATGCATTGGTGTCAATGATAGACAAAGTATAAGTTAGGATTCACCCCTTAACCCCCAAATCTGCTCCAGGGGTGGAGCCTGTCTTGTGTGTTTGTGTGTGGTGTGACAGATTAAAATAAAATTGTATTTGTCACGTGCCGAATACAACAGGTGTAGACCTTACTGTGAAATGCTTACTTGCGAGAACTTAACCAACAATGCAGTTTTTTAAAAGTAAGTAAAAAACATTTGCTAAATAAACTATAGGAAAAATAGTAACACAAAAAAATAACAACGAGGCTATATACAAGGGCTACCGGTACCGAGTCAAAGTGCAGGGGTACGGGTTAGTTGAGGTAATTGAGGTAATATGCACATGTAGGTAGGGGTAAAGTGACTATGCATAGAAAATAAACAGAGAGTAGCAGCGTGTGTGTGTGTTTGGCGTCAATATGCATGTGTGTGTATGTCCGTGTGTGTTGGAGTGTCTGTGTAGTATGTGTGAGTGTGTCGTTTGAGTCCAGTGAGTGTACATCGAGCCTGTGCAAGAGAGTCAGTGCAATTTAAAAAAAGAAATACGAATAAAATAAGGGGTCAATGCAAATAGTCCAGTTAGCCATTTGATTAACTGTTCAGCAGTTTTATGGCTTGGGGGTAGAAGCTGTTAAGGAGCCTTTTGGTCCCAGACTTGGCGCTCCGGTACGGCTTGTAGAAAGAACAGTCTATGACTTGGGTGGCTGGAGTCTGACCATTTTTAGGGCCTTCCTCTGATTCAGGGCTGTGACAGGAAAAAACCTGTGCAAATGGATCAATAAAGATGTATTGTGTTGTAGGTCAAGAGGGAGCCAGCGTCCACTCACTCCAGTGCCAGCCCGGCCTGGGCCAATCACAGGCGGTTCTCTGAGCCTTCGTGGGCTCCCCAGGGCTCTAAGAGGACGTTCACTCCTCCACTGGACTACTCCCTCAACGACAAGCCTTCCCCTGATAAGAATGGGTCCTCCCAGTCTGGTAAACTAACAGTGCTAACGCCTGATTAAAGCCCAGTGGATCTCAGCCAGGTTATTTGTGGCAGGCAACTGTTTTCCATTGCAGCTGTGTTATATGATGGCAATTGTATTTAGCAGATGCTCTTGCCAAAGGTGACTGATCCCATTATTAGTAAAAATAAATCAAAATCAACTAGGTAACCTGCCTAGTAATTAGTGCTGAAATAGAAACGTTTATCACGTGAAAAGTTCCAACTGTCAAACTTCTGTTTTTAACCGCCATGTCCTCTTCTCTCCTTCCAGCAGGGGATGCGTGCTGCGAGCTGTGTGGCTTTGACTTTGAGAACCGCACGGCGCTGGCGAGCCACGCACGGGCCCACCTCCGCCAGCTGGGGGTTAAGGAGTGGAGGGTAGAGGGTGTGAAGGCCTCCCCCATTGAGTTGCTCAGCGCCTGGATCCAGAGGCAGCCACGTAAGGCCGCGGAGATCCACCGCCAGTACCGCGACGGTGACCTCAACATCAGGTTTAAGGTGAGTGTTACATCTTCTATTACAAACTGGGTGGTTCGAGCCCTGAATGCTGATTGGCTGATAGTCGTGGTATATCAGACCGTATACCACCGGTATGACAAAACATTTATTTTTACTGCTTTAATTACATTTGTAAACAGTTTATAATAGCAATATGGTACCTTGGGGGTTTGTGATATATGGCCAATATTCCACGGCTAAGGGCTGTGTCCAGGCACTCAGCGTTGCGTCGTGCTTAAGAACAGCCCTTAGCCGTGGTATATCGGCCTTATACCACACCCCCTCGGGCCTTATTGCTTAAGTATAGCGCCCATTAGGTTTGGATCTAATTGCTCTGTGGCAGTGGGGCTGCTCACACCCAGTCTTGGATTAAAAGCAAGTGACAATCACATGCCCTCAGGTGCATGGCGTTTAGGCACTTTCCAGCTGCTTAGTTCTGTGGCAGGAGTGCTTCAACTCTCAGTCTCGGAGAGCAGCTGGGTTTCGTCCTCGCTTTTCCAGTAGCTGAGGCTTGGGGAGACTAGATGAGTAGACGCGTTCTCTGACCAGTTATTGATTTAAATTGAGAAGAAAAGCAGCAGATTGACATCAATAGAATAGCCGTGCTCTGTAGTTGCTAACATCCAAGTCTCTATGTGTACTGTATGCTATTTCTACAACCAATCCAGGTGAATGTAGATGATCCTGTCCAACTTAGACGAGAAACTATTTCACCAACACTTGTTTTCTTTCCCCCCTTCCAGAGGAAAGCCCCGTCCCACTCTCCCGCCACAGACTCAGGCTTCTTCCCCTCGGGAGCCCAGAGGACTGCGGCTGCGGGGCTGCAGCTGGGGCGCAGGGCGGGACGAGAGGTGGCCAGGGTCGCCGGGGGGTTGTCCAGGACAGCTCAGGGTCAAAGGTCACAGGGGGAGACGGGACACTCGTCACATCACCATCATACCGTCGCTCATACGCAGTCCCAGGGGGCTAGAGGAGACTTCAACCACATACGCTCTCCTAGAGGTGAAAGATGGAAACGGACGCAAATGTGCATGTACACACACACCCTATAGTCATTTCTACCTGTAAGCCCTCTGATAAAACCAACGTTGAGCTATGCTAGACTGATTTTTAAAGCCCTTCCCATCCTGTCTGTGCCAGGTTTTGAGCGGCGGGTCCCTAAACACACCGCCCATACGGAGGGAGCAGAGGTAGACGGCAGCTCTCAACAACCCTCCCGGTCAGGAAACATCCCTTCCCTGGTTCCCAGGCCTCCCTCCACTCCTCTGGTCAAACAAGTGGGCAAAGAGTACACCCTCAAGTGCAGGTGAGTTGGTTGCCAAAATGCTGATAGTTCAATGTACGCTGAACTCACAGACTGCCTGAGGTCACACACTTGTAGGATTTATTATTGGCATCGTAAGAGGGTCTATGCACTACAGGTTTTGATACTTCCACAATGTTTCATAGAAAGTGGTTTAAGCACTGGTCTGTTTGTATATTCATATTAACAACCCTTCTCACTCTTGCTTTCTGTTCTATTCCATCCCTCAGGTTCTGTGAGGCAGTGTTCCATGGATCTCAGTCAGTACAGGAGGACTGGATCAGACACCTGCAGCAACACATCCTGGACCTCCGCTTCAACAAGGCCTCTCCTCCCCCCACCCCTGGCCCAGAACGGCCCCTGGTCCCGGGCATCGAACCCTCAGCCATCCCCCCTACCACCACCCCTGTCTTTCTGGCACCACTAGCTGTTTAAATGGTCCACTACAACGGCTACACTCACTGCATTTTTCTTATTACCACTCAGTTGGATTGTCTTATCTGTTGTTCATGTATTTGTTTTCTTCAAAGGACTGTTGAAGTCAGTGTACAATGTGGCAAAAACACTACTAATAAGGTGCGTGTGGGGGACTATGCGTTTGTTTATTTATTCAGCGTTGAAGAAATGACTCGGTATGAATGATAACAGCACAAAGTGGATATACTGTGTCACTAGTCTTGTCCACCAGCTGGCTCTCTCTCTAGCTGTTAGCCTGGGGACGAGGTTACTGGAGTACAGACATAGCTGTACCAGCCTCATATCAACTCTAGAGGGCCTACTTGGGCCATTTGAAGAAGTCTACTTTCAGTAACTGTACTCTTGCTGGGGTAACTTGGACATGAGGGGTCAAACAAACTAACATCCATTCATCATGTCAGTCACACCACGTAGTAGTCTAGCAATTGTTACATTCCAGATCTTTATTGTGATGTTTATTGCACATTGTTTTCATAGAAACCTAAATTCATAGTAGTCTGTATGACTTTGGATGGAATGGATTTCCATAGACTGTAGTCAGTGATGTCACTGAAGAAGTAAGGCAAAGCCTGTTCTAGCATTAAATACATTCCCCTTGTTTCAACTGTTTCAAAGCAGTGTGTTATTATAGGTTGCATTGCAAAATAGCAGGGAAGGAAGCATGTTCAGCTTTGAATTATGGTCTGAAATGTATTTCCCTAATGTACAGGAATTTGTATTTACTTTTTTATGAATTATGTTTTAAAATGTAGAAATGTTTTCTGAAGTAAAGAAATATAGACAAGGTTTTATATTTGTCTTGAATTCTTCTGTAATGAGTGGTTTGCAAGGCCGCGGAGCCAGACAGAATTCCAGGACGCGTACTCCGAGCATGCGCTGACCAGCTAGCTGGCAAGTGTCTTCACTGACATTTTCAACCTACAGTGCCTTCAGAAAGTATTCACATCCCTTGACTTTTTCCATATTTTCTTGTGTTATAGCCTGAATTTAAAATGGCCTACACACAATACCCCAGAATGTCAAAGTGGAATTATTTTTACATCATTAAAAATGAAAAGCTGAAATGTCTTGAGTCAAGTATTCAAACACTTTGTCATGGCAAGATTAAATAAGTTCAGGAGTAAAAATGTGCTTAACTAACATAAGTTGCATGGACTCACTCTGTGTGCAATAATACTGTTTTAACATGATTTTTGTAAGAATACCTCATCTCTGTACCCAACACATCTGTAATGTCCTTCATTCGAGCAGTGAATTTTAAAACACAGATTGAACCACAAAGACCAGGGAGGTTTTTCAATGCCTCGCAAAGAAAGGCACCTATTTGTAAATGGGTAAACATTTTAAAAAGCATGGTGAAGTTTGAGCATGGTGAAGTTATTAATTACACTTTGGATGGTGTATCAATACACCCATTGACTACAAAGATATAGGCGTCCTTCCTAACTCAGTTGCCAGAGAGGAAGGAAACCGCTCAGGGATTTCACCATGAGGCCAATGGTGACTGAAACAGTTACAGAGTTTAATGGCTGTGATAGGAGAAAATTGATGATGGATCAACAACATTGTAGTTACTCCACAATACTAACCAAAATGACCGAGTGAAAAGAAGGAAGCATGTACAGAATAAAGATATTCCCAAATATGCCATCCTGTTTGCAATAAGGCACTAAAGTAAAACTGTACAAATTGTTGCAAATAAATTAACTTTATGTCCTGTATACAAAGCGTTATGTTTGGGGCAAATCCAACACATCACTGAGTACCACTCTTCATATTTTTAAGCATGGTGGTGGCTGCACCATGTTATGGGTATGCTTGTCATTGGCAAGGACTAGGTAATTTTTTTGGGATAAAAAGAAACGGAATATACCTAAGCACAAGCAAAATCCTAGAGGAAAACCTGGTTCAGTCTGCTTTCCAACAGACACTGGGAGACAAATTCACCATTCAAACACAAGGCCAAATATACACTGGAGTTGCTTACCAAGTTACAGTTTTGATTTAAATCGGCTTAAAAATCTATGGCAAGACTTGAAAATGTATGTCTAGCAATGATCAACAACCAACTTGACAGAGCATGAAGAATTAAAAAAATAATAATGTTCAAATATTGTACAATCCAGGTGTGCAAAGCTCTTAGAGACTTACCCAGAAAGTCTCACAGCTGTAATCGCCACCAAAGGTGCTTCTACAAGTAAGACTTATGTAATAGATATTTCTGTATTTCATTTTCAATAAATTTGCTAAAATTTCTAAAAACATGTTTTCACTTTGTCATTATGGGGTATTCAATCAAATATATTTACAGTATAAAGCCCTTTTTACATCCGCAGATGTCACAAAGTGCTATACAGAAACCCAGCCTAAAACCCCAAACAGCAAGCAATGCAGATGTAGAAGCACGGTGGCTAGGAAAAACTCCCTAGAAAGGCAGAAACCTAGGAAGAAACCTAGAGAGGAACCAGACTCTGAGGGGTGGCCAGTCCTCTTCTGGCTGTGCTGGGTGGAGATTATAAGAGTACATGGCCATTTAAGGCCAGATTGTTCTTCAAGATGTTCAAACGTTCATAGATGACCAACAGGGTCAAATAATAATCACAGTGTTTGTAGAGGGTGCAACAGGTCAGTACCTCAGGAGTAAATGTCAGTTGGCTTTTCATAGCCGAGCATTCAGAGATCGAGACAGCAGGTGCGGTAGAGAGAGAGAGTCGAAAACAGCAGGTTCGGGACAAGGTAGCACGTCCGGTGAACAGGTCAGTGTTCCATAGCCGTAGGCAGAACAGTTGAAACTGGAGCAGCAGCACGACCAGGTGGACTGGGGAAAGCCAGGAGTCATTAGGCCAGGTAGTCCTGAGGCATGATCCTAGTGCTCAGGTCCTCCGGGAGCGGAGGGAGAGAGAGAATTAGAGGAAGCATACTTAAATTCACACAGGACACCAGATAATAAAGGAGAATTACACCAGATTTAACAGACTGACCCTAGCCCCCCGGCACATAGACTATTGCAGCATAGACACTGGAGACTGAGACAGGGGTGAGTCGGGGGACACTGTGGCCCCGTCCGACAATACCCCCGGACAGGGCCAACCAGGCAGGATATAACCCCACCCACTTTGCCAAAGCACAGCCCCCACACCACTAGAGGGATATCAACAGAACACCAACTTACTACCCTGAGACAAGGCTGAGTATAGCCCACGAAGATCTCCTCCACCGCATTTAAACCATTTTTGAATTGAGGCTGTAACACAACAAAATGTGGAATAAGTCAAGGGGTATGAATACTTTCTAAAGACACTGTATGTACATAGCTACCTCTATTACCCTGTACCCCTGCACATCGGCTCGGTACTGGTACTCCTTGTATACAGTATAGCCATGTTATTTTACTCTTTATTGTTATTCGTTATTCACTGTGTATTTATTCCTCGTGTCACAATTTCTAAACATATACAGTTGAAGTCGGAAGTTTACATACACCTTAGCCAAATACATTTAAATTCAGTTTTTCACAATTCCTGACATTTAATCCTAGTAAAAATTCCCTGTTTTAGGTCAGGATCACCACTTTATTTTAAGAATATGAAATGTCAGAATAATAGTAGAGAGAATGATTTATTTCAGCTTTTATTTATTTCATCACATTCCCAGTGGGTCAGACGTTTACATACACAATTAGTATTTGATATCATTGCCTTTAAATTGTTTAACTTGGGTCAAAAGTTTTGGGTAGCCTTCCACAAGCTTCCCACAATAAGTTGGGGGAATTGTGGCCCATTCCTCCTGACAGAGCTGGTGTAACTGAGTCAGGTTTGTAGGCCTCCTTGCTCGCACACGCTTTTTCAGTTCTGCCCACAAATGTTCTATATGATTGAGGTCAGGGCTTTGTGATGGCCACTCCAATACCTTGACTTTGTTGTCCTTAAGCCATTTTGCCACAACTTTGGAAGTATGCTTGGGGTCATTGTCCATTTGGAAGACCCATTTGTGACCAAGCTTTAACTTCCTGACTGATGTCTTGAGATGTTGCTTCAATATATCCACATAATTTTCCTTCCTCATGATGCCATCTATTTTGTGAAGTGCACCAGTCCCTCCTGCAGCAAAGCACCCCCACAGCATGATGCTGCCACCCCCGTGCTTCACGGTTGGGTGGTGATCTTCGGCTTGCAAGCGTCCCCCTTTTCCTCCAAACATAACGATGGTCATTATGGCCAAACAGTTCTATTTATGTTTCATCACACCAGAGGACATTTCTCCAAAAAGTACAATATTTGTCCCCATATGTAGTTGCAAACCGTAGTCTGGCTTTTTTATGGCCGTTTTGGAGCAGTGGCTTCTTCCTTGCTGAGCGGCCTTTCAGGTTAAGTCGATATAGGAATCGTTTTACTGTGGATATAGATACTTTTGTACCTGTTTCCTCCAGCATCTTCACAAGGTCCTTGCTGTTGTTCTGGGATTGATTTGCACATTTCGCACCAAAGTATGTTAATCTCTAGGAGACAGAAGGCGTCTCCTTCCTGAGTGGTATGACGGCTGCGTGGTCTAAACACTAAAATAACACATCCTGGATCTGAATGAATGAAATAATCTTATTAAATACTTTTTTCTTTACATAGTTGAATGTGCTGACAACAAAATCACAAAAAAATTATCAATGGAAATCAAATTTATCAACCCATGGAGGTCTGGATTTGGAGTCACCCTCAAAATTAAAGTGGAAAACCACACTACAGGCTGATCCAACTTTGATGTAATGTCCTTAAAACAAGTCAAAATGAGGCTCAGTAGTGTGTGTGGCCTCCACGTGCCTGTATGACCTCCCTACAACGCCTGGGCATGCTCCTGATGAGGTGGCGGATGGTCTCCTGAGGGATCTCCTCCCAGACCTGGACTAAAGCATCCGCCAACTCCTGGACAGTCTGTGGTGCAACGTGGCATTGGTGGATGGAGCGAGACATGATGTCCCAGATGTGCTCAATTGGATTCAGGTCTGGGGAACGGGCGGGCCAGTCCATAGCATCAATGCCTTCCTCTTGCAGGAACTGCTGACACACTCCAGCCACATGAGGTCTAGCATTGTCTTGCATTAGGAGGAACCCAGGGCCAACTGCACCAGCATATGGTCTCACAAGGGGTCTGAGGATCTCATCTCGGTACCTAATGGCAGTCAGGCTACCTCTGGCGAGCACATGGAAATGCCACCCCACACCATGACTGACCCACCGCCAAACCGGTCATGTTGGAGGATGTTGCAGGCAGCAGAACGTTCTCCACGGCGTCTCCAGACTCTGTCACGTCTGTCACATGTGCTCAGTGTGAACCTGCTTTCATCTGTGAAGAGCACAGGGCGCCAGTGGCGAATTTGCCAATTTTGGTGTTCTCTGGCAAATGCCAAACGTCCTGCACGGTGTTGGGCTGTAAGCACAACCCCCACCTGTGGACGTCGGGCCCTCATACCACCCTCATGGAGTCTGTTTCTGACCGTTTGAGCAGACACATGCACATTTGTGGCCTGCTGGAGGTCATTTTGGCAGTGCTCCTCCTGCTCCTCCTTGCACAAAGGTGGAGGTAGCAGTCCTGCTGCTGGGTTGTTGCCCTCCTACGGCCTCCTCCACGTCTCCTGATGCACTGGCCTGTCTCCTGGTAGCGCCTCCATGCTCTGGACACTACGCTGACAGACACAGCAAACCTTCTTGCCACAGCTCGCATTGATGTGCCATCCTGGATGAGCTGCACTACCTGAGCCACTTGTGTGGGTTGTAGACTCCGTCTCATGCTACCACTAGAGTGAAAGCACCGCCAGCATTCAAAAGTGACTAAAACATCAGCCAGGAAGCATAGGAACTGAGAAGTGGTCTGTGGTCACCACCTGCAAAA